AAGTTGTGCCAATATACAAAGAAGAAAATATGAACATTTATTATCATTGAGACATTTTTTTTCTTTTGACAGTATACAAGTTTGACTATATGAAGACACTAAATTAGATACATTTGTAATGTGTGCTTTTTTCGTTAGTGATTCATTTTGATGCTTTTTATGATAAACTTCATAAATGCTAAATATAAACGAATAAAAAACTCGTCATATATTTATCAAAATGAGCAATCAAGGTGAAATACCCACATCACTCATGTAATTGATTGTTCGCTCATTTGAAAACATACTACGAAAGAAACATTAATTAAATGACTCAATTTTACTTAGAACCTTTTCCCCACAGTTATTATCGGCCTATATTTGGTAACATTATGCAATGTACATCGGTAATAGTCCTTGAAATGTTTATGAACTACGTGAATATTTTCTAGTATTTAAACAAAATTACTGCACTACGAACATCAAATCATTAGTGTCATTGATTGAATTCAACATGAAATACTTTTCGATCGTTATTCTCTTGGTCAGCCTTTTATGCATGACTATATCGGCCAATAATTGTTTTTGGTATGATTGTCATGCACATTCATTCAGCAGTTGGTGCCCTAACGGTCAGTATTCATTTTCTACTTTCGATGTCGTGACTTCTTTTTCATTTGAAATAGGCATGCATACCTGCGAATGGCAACGATGCTCATTCACAATATTTCATTTGCCTGGAAAAAAAGAAAAATGTTGTACAGATTCATGTTAAATAGCATCACAAAACAATAAAAAACTTTTGATTTATCTAATTAAACCTACTCACTTTATGTATTGTAAGACTTTTTTTCATATTTTCTTAAATAAATTTAATTAGACTTCATTGAAGTCATTTGAAAAATTTTTGCTTAGGATTTATTGTAAAACACTGCTCTAGAAATCTTTTGATTTGAGAAGAAGAAGTACGAAGATACGAGAACAAATTCAAAATGATACTGTCTTTTCACCTATTTCAAGATGAAACCTAGTTCTACTAGTTGAATTCATGCTAGTGTCTGATAGAATCGAAATTGATTGTTTTTATGAAAAAAGCGTTCATTGAAATGGTTGCAATCATTCTTCGAAATAATACATCATTGAACTAATGCAACGAAGAAAACATAATCATTTTGAATATCTCAATCAAAACCTGAAGATACCATTAGATCAGTGAGAATATGTAATGTGATTCTCCTCATATACACTCACTCACCTTTTTCTTACGTTCGTTCTTGTCTCTTCTTGTTATATTCTTTTTTTTCCTACACGATGTCATCGGTTACCTCTTTTCACGTTGTTACTAAAGTGAAAATTAGGTGAAAAAAATAAAATTGATATTTTTTCGCTAGATGAATAATATAAGGTATACTTTGACTCATCGCTAATTAAATAAATCGTAAGATTTTCTTTAGACTTTTTTTGAATTTAGTCATTCATAAAAGAACAGTTCAGCGACATAATAGAAAAATTCGTTTTATTGTACAAGATAGATCGATTTTGTAAATAAGTGACTCAGTGTTTTTGAAAGAAGAATTTGTTCTTTATTGATTGATTAATAAAATTTTTCTTTTAAGACTTTTTCAAGAAACAAAAAGGCATTGTTTTTTTCTGATGATGTTTTACAAATAGATTCGTTTAGGAAAGTTAATGCACACACTTTAGTATAGATTTGATTCCAATAAAATTTTCAGACAATGTTCTTTCACATTTAAAACGACAACTGTGCATGTTCAAAGATGTACAAATACTTTAGGACTAAGATCAAGGGGTTAAAGTAACAATAGATTCAGAATCAGCGAAAGAAATCATATCCGACAATGTTTAGTTTGATAGTTCTTTAAAATAGAAATTTATTGACAGAAATTCAGAAAAGGATCTTCATTTAAAAGAATTTGAATTTTAGTTCTTTTATAAGTTATACTACTTTAAGTAGTAAAAACTACTATTTTTATGAAAAGAAAAACAATTTTGGCAGAAAACCTACTGTAGAATCATTTGTTTGAATACCAAACCATGTTGCAAATATTAAAATTCGTCGGTTTTTTTTATTTTACTCTTTGAAATTTAAATCGATTTAGAATAGCTGATTATTCACTTTCACACAATTAGATGGTAGAGTTCTCCTTTAAACTTAAGTAGCATGGTCAAAATAATGTGGAACACATTGTTAATTGTGTTTTATTGTGTAGATATTAGCGAGTTAGTGCAAATTTTGTGCACTTTCAAAGTGATTTTTATAAATAATGAGTTTCTCGTTGATTATAACTCTGATTAGAATAAATGATTTCGAGGTTGACATAAGATTTTTGGAGATAACATTCTGCAACACAAAAAAGGAAGAACATCAATAACACAATGAGAGATTTTATTGTGGTAATTGTTGTTGGTTGGCTTCTGCTAATAACTGACGAAAAAAAAATCTGTTTCTTTTACATTTTTTTGTTTGTCTCCATTGTACTGTGAATCAGTGGAAGAAAGTATATAAATATTTAAATATATTTTAAGTATGTTGCCCATAAAACCTTTTATTACTTGAAATAATCATTTACAATTGATCGTTCTAGTGAAAAAGACAATACATTGTCAGTAACATAGACCTTCTTTGAAAGCTGAATCGAAAACAAATTTTTAATTTGGATTGATAAATTAGTTTAAAACTGAAATTTTTTCTTGAGATGAAAGACGAGAATGAATGTCCAATTTTTGGTTAAAGAGTCTTATAACATACAATGTTTTTCTATGTTGTTGTTTTGTTTACTAAAGAATCTCTTTCAATTCAATATGAATACTCATACTTTCATTCTATGTATATATATGAGTGAATTAAGCGTTTCGTAGAGTATCAACAGTTTCAAAAAAATCATATAAGATAGCTACCAACACTATGTGACAAAGAGAGCGGTAGTTTTTTGGAAGTTTATTTTGCAACTAAGATTGTTGAATACAGAATTCAATTTAGCATATATATTAGAATGACTTGAAATCCTAGTACAAATTCTCTAACAAATGTGCTTCCAGTATATTTCTAAAATGATGCATATCTTCATCGTACATTCAGCAGCATCCACTAAAATTAAACGCCGGTGGAGAACGATCGAATCCATAACTTTTTTTCGTTAAATACAGTCACAACATGTTTTTGTTTGTTATTTATTAGCTTTGTTGTACTCTTTATTTAAATAATCTATATAAAAATGATAAAATATGAAAACACTGTTTTAAAAATGATATAGAAAATATCAAGTAAATATAATTTAATCTTATTTTTTAACCTTTTAATGAATGAGTTTTATCTAATCAATGATGATAAAGAAACTCGTCGAAATGAATCGAATAGTTTTTGCAGATGTGAATTCAATTAATGTAAATTATACTATTAAGGACACAATTAAACGCATTGATACGTTGATAAACTGTCTTGAATGTCTCAACTGTAATGGAGAGAAAGAATTACTTTTGCTTATACTCACTAGACAAAATGATTGACATCTCAAGTTCGTAATTTTGCTTTTATTATTCTACTCAAGAATCCCTAGGACATTGTTGCAAGTCAAGAAAAACAATTTGAGAAAATTGTAATGATCTTAAAAGTACTTTCCTATGCGATATTGAATAAAGAAAGAGCTTAATATATAACAATTGATGATCATTTTCGTAGAGAGTGTGGAAGAAGACTAGTCGCACACTCACATCCACCTATATTTGACGTATTTTACAATTCGTCGACGATAATTGACTGCTGATACATGAAAATAGATGTCAACAGTGGAAAGATAATTGAAAACACGATATAGCAACTCAACATATAAAACACGAATGGTCGTGTCACTGCATGCCATTGGTGTTTGTTGTCCTATAAATTTATGCTTCGTTCGCTTTATAATCGTAACACAATCGAGCTTTTCGGAAAACGGGGTACTATGCCAGTTACTACAGTGACTTTTCAATTATCGATTTGTTTATTATGATCAGCAATCAATGTCTTAAAAGTAACACGAAGGTAAGATATATAGACTAAAGCCTTCTGAAGTTATACTTCTCCTACTCAAAACTCTAAGCCTATTCTTCCAGATGTCGCTCTCCTCTTTTTCCATTCACACCCTTTGCATCCATCACTCAGTAGAGCTTGACGAAGTTTGATGACATTGAATTATTTGCCTTTGCTTTTTGTAATTATCAGACAACGTGTGAAATATATTTATAAATTTTTTTTATAATAAAGCAGAGTCGTTTTCTATGAGGGGTTCACAAGAAAATAAATTTATCTCGTTTTACTTTTAGTTCCTTCAAGTTATCCCTTAAGTCCCTTTAGCACCCTGTTAGCTCTAATATGAATAGAACAAAAGGACAAGCAGTGTCACTGATGTTATGTGACAGAACTAAGAAAAATATAACCTTCTTGGGGATCGAACCCACACCTGCTATCCGAGCAGTTGTCCTAAGCCAGTTAGACTAGAAGGTACATATTAATCTTCGTTTAGCGGTAGTGTGATCTATCACTGACGCTAATACACCCTTTAGTACTTTTAATCCTATTAGTTCCTTTAGTTCGTTTAGTCCCTTTGTTCCTTTAGTCCCTTTAGATTTCTTTAGTCCCTTTAGCACCCTTTAGTCCTTTTGATCCCTTTAGCACCCTTTAGTCCTTTTGATCCCTTTAGCACCATTTGACAACCTCACTTCAACGGCACTTGTACTCGCACCCGTACCTATATTCTAAAAGGCCTAAAGGAACTAAAGTGCAGCGAATAAGAAAATCTTACCAGTTTTTACAACATGAAAGTAAAATGGGATAAAATTATTTTTTCGTGCACCTATGCATGCTCCACAAATTAATATCAAATACAGCCTTTCTTCTTGTGTGATTTTGTCGTAGCCACCCTAAAACAGATTTATCGAAAGATTATTAGCTTTAGAATAAAAACAACTTTACCGATATATAAGTTTCCTCGAAATAATCGATGATGTGTTGATAATCTTCATCAAGAATCCATTGATAGAATTTCAAATGCTTTAATGACATTATTTGGTTCTAAAAATGTTAATGCACCTAGTTTATGAATATTATGTGCAAAAACAGAGTCTGTTTGATATCGATTTTGACATCCTAATTCCTAAATTAAAACAGATACATAAAATTGACCTTCATTTTATATGATGAGTTATTTACTACTTGTAATTTACGATGAAGATTTTGTCGTAGATGAAAGTAACAGCCAGATTAGAGTATATTTGGAAAATCTTCTTCATAAACGTTGATACAAGCTTTTTCAAAATCAATCATCATTGATTGAGGCATCCATTGAGGTGCAACTTTAAGTATTTCGTTCGTTAGTCGACGATATGTAGTAGTAGCTTTGCGACGTAATAATGCATATTCGACGGGAACCACATGATCACGATATATTGCATGCATGATGTATAATTGATAAAATACTTCAGGTACTACCTTAAACGTTCCATCAGCTAAAAAAATGATGCCTGGATTGAAGAATATTAAGTTGTTCATCACTTGCGAATACTAATATTCTATCATCACCTATTTCAGTAGACGACATAAATACATGATGAGACAACAAATTTATTAAATGAAATACCTGAACCGGTGTCACAGCGTAAGAATTGAGTTTGGCTAGGGTGTTGGTGTGGGTGTGTATCTTATCTTCATCCACACTCACACCTCACCCTATTGTCATTTTTCTCAAATTTTTCATTGTGTGTCCCTGCATTTTTTGTTGATATTTTAATATTGCTTAAAAACTAATGCAGTACAAAGGTACTAACGAAAAAATTTGCTTATGAGTATTTTGTATAGAGCAGCAGAATACACAGCCACTAGATAAGAGTATTCACAAAATACAAAATATTACGCGACGAGTACTTTTTGGGTACTACCGGATGACGGCTTGTCCGTGTAACTCCGTCACAGCTTTACGGTTTTACTCATTTTGTTTTGACTATAACTTTGAAAGAAAAAGTTGTAGAGAGTTAAGGGACATCTTAAAGTGAAGAGAAATTTATTGTGAAGATTTTGAGATCTATCCAAGCTCATAAAAATATTTTCTCGAAAACTTATCATTAAAATACCAACACCTACTTTTTCGTAATCCAGCGAAAAAGTGCGTGTTAGTATTTTGGTTATAGATTTTCGAAAAAAACATTTTTACGAGATCCGACAGATCTTAAAATCTTCAGAACAAATTTCTCTTCACTTTAAGACGTACCTCAACTCTCTACGGCTTTTTCTTTCAGAGTTATTGTCAAAAAAATGATCTAAAACGTAACGCTGTGACACTTTAGCGCTGGCATTACGTGAACAAGCCGATGAGTACCTTCAGTAGGGTGATTTAAAGTTTGAAACGCTAAAATCTTTCAGAAATGGAAAGAATTTCGTAACATATAGGAAAAATTAATGTTCAAATGGAACCATATCATGCACTTATAGAAAAGTGTCGGAATTAATTAGATATACTGTTTGTAAATGGGTTACCAATATAGGTAAGCCGAGCAAATTCGAAGGAAGTGAAAAGGGTGGGTGTCGGTAAATGAAGAGAATACTGTGACCAGAGATGGGCAAGTCAAGTTAAAAATGACTTAAGTCAAAGTCAAGTCAAGTCATTTTTGACTTGGATGACTTGACTTGAAAATTTTTTTCGGTGACTCATGACTTGACTTGACTTGACTTTGGCTTTTAATTTTTTGACTTGACTGGACTTGTGACTTGATGAAAAAAAACAAGTCAAGTCAGATATTTTTCGAAGCTTATATACATACTACATTCGCATTATGTAATAGTGATTGTTCAACAACAGCTCGCGAAGTTAATGTTACTGATGATGAACAATCAACAACAATAACAGCACCAAGATTAACACCAAAACGCAAAAGTTTTTTCTCAAATTTTGAACGTAAAAATATTAAAAAGCAAAAGATTGATAATTTTGCATTTATTACAGATGAAATTATTAATTATTTTAACGAAGACGATAATGATTCCAATCGGTTTATTCTAATTAATGAACCGATTAAATACAAAGTATTGAACCAATTGGCGAAGAAGTTGTTGGCAGTTCCTGCAACATCATCACCGGTCGAAGGAATATTTTCATAAAGTGGCTTTATATTTCGACAACACAGAGTCAAAATGTCAAGAAAGACTTTGCAAATGTTAACCATGTTAAAATGTAATATGGAACTAACGTAATTTTTTTTCAATAAATTGATACATGATTAAATTATGAATCTTAAAAAAAATACAAGTCAATGACTTGAGACTTGACTTAACTTGACTTGGGTAGATCGCAGATTTGACTTGACTTGACTTGAGATATTGGACTTCGAAGCAATGACTTGACTTGACTTGACTTGGGTAGATCGCAGATTTGACTTGACTTGACTTGAGATATTGGACTTCGAAGCAATGACTTGACTTGACTTGACTTCAACCCTTTTTATTTTTATCAATGACTTGACTTGACTTGACTTGATTCTCTTTCAGAAATGACTTGACTTGACTTGTGTGAAAAAATAGCTGACTTGCCCATCTCTGCTATAATCAGAATCTAGAATACATAGCAACAACATTCGGGAGAGTTCGCTGTTATGTATAGGAAAGTAAATAGGGCAGGATGTGGGTGGGTGCTTCGATAAAAAAGACCCACACCCACACCCCACATAGTAAAATTATTGACCCAGTGTGAATTGAATTGTGATCATATCGATCTAATCTCAATATGATGAACGATAAAAGTGGCATAGCTGTGCCTGTGATGCCAATAAATAATCGACACAAAATTTTCTCTATTACAAAAGCACAAAGGTCGTATTGAAAACAGTTGTTTTTTACTGTAAATGAAAATACTTCATCCGCTTCATCATGTAGTGAATTTGTTTTGAAAAAATATAATCAGTGATGAAAAAACAGAGGCAAAAACCTCTTCCATTAACAATGAACTACTTGCTCATATCAATAGACAATAAGATATATCCTAGACAATTACAATTGATTGCTTTTTTGTGATTGTTAATGATAAACAATTCTATTCTAACCATATTTTCATTTTGAGTTCTTGCTTTGTGAACAGACAAATTTTACAAGATACAAGAATTTATTTGTGTAATCTTTTTTCTGCTTATCAAAACATAATTTTAAAATTAGTTTAATTTATTCAAGATGGAATTCAGAGGTACACTTAAAAAAAGCAAAAGATAAAATATTTTTGAAAGTTTTCAATATTCAAAAACAGAAAACTGTTAGAAAAGCACTTTTTCACTACAAATGAAGCAAGAAAAAGATCTAGTTTAGTTAATGTCAATAATAAAAGAACATACAAGATCATGTATAAGTGTTACATTAAAATGAACAAGAAAATTCGTAGTAAACAAAAAATTATTTTGAAAGATTCAGAGAAAAGAATAGAAACATTTAGTTCGAGTTGCTAATTAGGGAATGAAGAAAGGGTATGTTTATATTAGAAATACGAACTATCTAACTAAAGAAATGTAATATCAATGAATCAGATAATTCCAAAGATGTTGATAGAAATAATCGAAATGTTTTTTCATTCCTCGTCCTTAAGATGTAAACCTAGTTTGTATATACTCTTTTTCATATCGTCGTACTGCAACTTCACCTTGACTGGTAGCTGCTTTTTTCGATACTTCTTCAGTGACATAATTAGTTAATGATTCTGTACCATTCGAAGTATGAATATCTAATTGTGCACAAGTTCCTGATAGTGGCTTTGCAATTTCTTGAAAATTTTTTCGTGCACCTTCAGAGAGATAAAACGTATGAACGGGAATATTTCTATCTGCAAGCTACTTAAGTTCATTTTTATAATAAGTTTCACCTCCATATTTACTTTTATTCCAATATGCTTCTCTTCCATAGGCTTTTCTATCTCTTTTTATCGTATTCATATCTTTTGCCAGTGCATCTCCTATTAAAATAACTTGAGAAAGTCCCTCCGGCTTTTTACTCTGTTGAACTGCATGCCATAGTCCTATTTCAATCGCTTCTTCATAATCTCCACCACCTGTAGCAGATACTGTTGTCATAAATGCTCTTAAATTACTTGGTTTCGATTCCCAAGCAGAACTTTGAAGAATTCGATCTTCGAAACAATCATAATCTCTGTAAACTACAAATTGCATTTGAAATGAATCACTCGGTACCTTTAGTGTTTCTAGAATAGCTGAAGCTTGTTCAAACATTGTACAAACAGTTTCTTTAGCAGCAGATAATAAACTTAACATAGAACCTGTCGCATCCATATGTAGAACTGTACGTGAACGATCTGGGACTAGATTTGCTCCTCGATTTTGTTTATGCAGAAATGTGTTTATCATTTTCATCTCTCCTTCCAATAATGATCTTAAGAATCCTTTCGATTTTGTATGTTCACGCTTACATTGCTCTATGCCAAGTCCTTTAGAACCACATTTACTTTCATAAAAATTTATTACGAGCTTGTTTTAAAACGTTATATAAATGAGAACCTTCGATTTTTTAAAGTTCTTCTTTCCAAGCTGAACCCAAAATCCATTCTAAATCTTTACTTAATAAAACCATTCTATAGGAACCACAATCTCCTTGTCGCGCACCTCTCCCCATTATTTGATATTCTTCAGATAATTCTTCAGAGAGAAATGTTTGAAGAACATGAATACCTCCTTTAGCTAATAAATCTTGATTTCGACATATAAAATCAGTTCCTCGTCCAAATGTTCGAGTTAATAATGTAACTCTGCCAATAGTTGCTGCACGTTTGATATATAGATCTCGATCTTTAACAGAAACTTTTTCTGTAATAATTTGTACATCGTGTTCTAAAGATGATAATTCATCTGAATTATAAAATTTTATTAATTTAATTTCTGATTCAAAAAATACAAGAATGGCACGACTTACATTACATATTGTATCAATTTCTCCACGAATTCTCATAAAATATCCCGATTCTGTTACTACTTCAACATCAGTACGTTCATCAAATGTACGATTAACACTACCAAATACTGACGGCATATACGTTGTTTTCTGAACTCTATAAACTTCTCGTAATATATATTTTTCTGTAGTAGCAAGTGGTTTCAATGTACCCGTTACATCACCAATAAATGCAAAATCAAGAGGCATTTCAGCATAGGAAAATGTTCCACAATGAATGATAAAGCCTACATTCATTTCTAAACTATTTTGACTAATATTTCCTTTCTGATGTTCATAATAATATGCCCAAACAGTATCATATCCACGAACTACATTATCTACTATAGATTCACCTTCAACATAAACAATT